CAGAAAGATGTTGCAAAACTGTATGAGATTGTATATTGTTTTGGATAGCTTATTAAGGTTTTTTAAACCTTAAAGATAAAAATTTTGCAAATCATATGGTCACCTAATTAGAAAATCAGTAGGCTCAATGAGAACAGCTACTACTCTTACTATCATTTGTTTTATATCTGAAATATCAGCTCTCCAAGTTTTCTTCTTGTATTTCTGGCCTTTTTTATACACATTTTAGTCAATGGTTGTATTATTATTACTATGTATGGTTTGAGAAAATACCAACACATATTTTACATGAATTTTTGTTATATCAGAGAGAAGCATTTTCTTTTAATAAAGAGACTTACAACCAGTTTGATGAAAATATTATTGATTTTTGTGATTCAGCAAAGGGTGTTGCACCAGAATTGTCTTGTCTAGCCTTACAATTATTTGGAATATGTATTAATTCGGCTTCGGTTGAAAGATTATGGTCAACTATAGGTTTTTTGTATACGAACCACTGAAATCATTTACCGGTATATACAAATATTTATTTTATTTTATTTTTTTTATAGTATATAGTATTAATTTAAATTCTTTATTTTAAGTATGAAAAAGTGCTAGCAATGAGCCAATTGCACGGTAATATACTAAGCAAGTGAAAATGTAGTAATATTGAAATATCTGAATGACAATATAAAAGAATTCACATTGCAGTTCCTGTTCGATCTCAGGATGATAATGAAGATTTTGCACAAGAATTGGAAAAATTAACTGTAAGCGATAGCGAAACCTGTTTACCAACCACTAATAATCTGCCAAGTAAAGTAACCGAAGCAATCGAAGCAACCAAAGTGACCGAAGCGACTGAAGCAACTGAAACGATCGAAGAAGACATAGTCGATAAGGCTGAAACTTCTGATGAAGAAAAAAATTGGTCAAATGTAATTAAGAACTGGGTTGGAATATTAGATAGTGAAAATTAGTTAAAGAATAGTGAAATTATAAATGATGAACTACCTGAATTTGAATTTAGTGAGCGTACTACTCACCTAGCAGATGATTCATTAGCAAAATAGAATTTGCTGGAATTATTCAATAATTTATTAGATTTGCCTATTTCTTTTGTCCTTCAATAAATTTAATTAAATGTAATGAAGTTTATATTAGCATTAAAAATCATAGGAGTTTTGAAAATTTTAGCAGTTAAATAAAATAAAGTGCTTTAAAGGCTGTAACAGATATTATGTAATATCTATTTACTATAAGGGTACACCCTTCTCTACGTAAGATGGTGACTCTGATTGGTAGACAAAATAAATATAATGCAGCTCTGTAAAGATATATAACCTTATCAAATTTTATAATATTTTATGATTCAGTGATCAAAACTCGATGATTTGGTACTATTTGATCCGTCTCAATAAGATGGATCGAATAGTACCAAAATTATTGAGTTTCGATCACTAGATCACAAAATAATTGTATTTAAATAATTTTTATAAATATCTAAATAACTTGTCAACCAGTAGTCCAAATTTAACAATTTTGGTACAATTCGATTCCTCTCGATAAGACAATTCGCAATACAGTTCTTTACAGAACTAAATTTCTTTGTAAATATATAAAACTGTGTTGCAAAACATTTTTTGTGAATATCTCACAAACCAGTGATTTAATTTTAATGATTTTGGTACCATTCGAATTGTCTCATCGAGAGGAATCGAATGGTACCAAAATCGTTAAATTTGGACTACTAGTTGACAAGTTATTTAGATATTTTATAAAAATTATTTAAATACAATTATCTTGTGATCTAGTAGTCAAAACTTGATGATTTTGGTACTATTTGATCTGTCTCATTGAGATGAATCGAATGGTACCAAAATTGTTAAGTTTTAATTACTGAATAATAAGATATCATAAAATTTGCTAAGATTATATTATATATATAATTATATATATTATATATGTATAATGTAAGACTTTGGCTTACCCACCCCCAAGATATTATGTAATATCTGTCATAGCCCTAACTTGACTTCAATTGATTTGGAAATAATTTATGCGCAGTACCTTAAATAATTGAAAAACAATTAGCATACAAAATTGAAAAACAATTAGCATACAAAATTGAAAAACAATTAGTATACAAATTTATATTACGTACTATATAAATTATTATTTATTAGTTGTACTTACGTATTTTAGTATGTGCAAAAAATCATTGGCACTGTGTAGATTTTTTTATTATACATGATTTCTAAATATGAATTCAGACTTGTTATACATACATACGTACATATGTACGACCTGCAGTCTGATAAAAAAGTTAATTCACGATTTTTCATAGACATATTTGTATTAAATAACTAATCACATTTTTAATAGATAATTCAAATAACCATAACAGATCATTGGGTTTTTGAAATAATCTAATGACTGGTCACTAATCATTTAAGTTATTTGGGTCATTTTAAGTCATTTATTACCATCACTAGTATGGAGGTCAAGAGTTTCTATGTGGAAGTATATAATATTATTTATGGATGCCCTATATTAAAAAAGTAGATATATAAGTATCTCAATATATTATAACTTAAAGTTTAATTATTGAGCTTGACTTATATAACTATTTGCTTAGAACATAATCTGGGTTGAAAAAGTTTTTAACAGGATGAGAGCTCTAAGTATTTTGCAGATCAAGTATAGTATAATTTAAATTTTGGCCTATACTATATTAATTTTTTTTTTTTTATATATATTAAGATAAGGTCACGCCTTTGGTTTTTATTAATATATAGCTTCAACAATTACAATTACATATACATATACATTAATTTTATGAACTACAGAGACTTAGACTAATTTATCTACGACCTAAATCTACTAGAGTAGTCTATACCTCACATATATATCACTTAGCTTTGTGCTTCTCAACTAACCATTTTTAGTAACTGCATATTCCCCTATATCTTACATGATTAGCTATAACTTCCAAGTTGATACGTCAGATATTTGCTCCTAATGAGCTTTCAAATTAGTATACCTGCAAACACGATCTACTGCAAATCTTCTAATAGATCCTATTAGTACAACTGTAATTGGTGCAGATGACCTTTCTATAGCCTCATATCTCAAGCCAGGAACTTGCTGTCTAATTAGGTTCACCACATAAAAGAGTTGGTATTACATTGCCAGATATGCTAATTGGCAGGAACCCTTCCACTTATCTGCTCAGATACTACTAATCTATATCTCAAGCCAAGCCCTGCTGCTACTACTAGTTTGTCACCCCAGGACTTAACATTCTTTTTCTGGTATAGTGATACCAACTAATCTATTTGTACTTCTTCATATAGTATATTATCAGAACCATATTTTGTAAGATCAAGGTAAGCCTGGGTCCTACTTTTAGCTATAGGCCTTGTATCATATTACTAGGAGCCATATTCCAATTTACATTAACTTCTAACTTGGACTCTCATCTATTGGTTGGTGTTGCATTATCGTTAATATATTCTGGCTTATTTCGTTATTAACTTTCATATAGATATGACCAGAGCTCTGACTTGGTGCCTTTAGATGTACTAGATTAGCTAGACTGCCTTTATAAAATTACCTTTCTTTAGTTAGTTGTTTCACAGTACCAGAGGTATTTCCAATTCAGATAAGGCCAATCCTTTACTACAGCCCTTTCATATGTCCACCACTTTTCTTGATACTCTAGTTTTAGTAGTATTGTATCACTTTCCCAAGCAAGTACCCAATACCAATCCAAATTAGAACTAATATGCACGATCTGTTGATCATCTTTCCAAGCAAGTACCTTACAAGTTAGGTGCGAGGATGTTGGTATTGCCTAAAGTGGAGGCGA